GGTCCGTATTCACTCCGTAACTCAGAATTCTGATTGAGGCAAACTAGGTGGCGTTGGAAAGAGGACTGAGAGACCTTTAATTTGATAGGTCATGGACCACCTAACTCTTTATGTGATAAAAGTTATGGTTGTTTGAAGTTGACCCAAAACTTAAGGAAAATAATGGATGAACTTGAACGAATTTTTCTTTAGTTCTTTTTGAAATTAGAGGTGTTACGTCTAGTGACCTTAACACCTAAGAAAATTTAAAATCACTCGGAAATTTTTTATTCACAACGAAGAATGGTTTAAGTCTTGACTTAGAAATTTTCGGGGTGTTATAAATTGTATCTCCCACATATGTTATGATTATGACTTTTCATAATATGCATTGGCCTTGTACTATTTTTCATAATCACATTATTAGTTTTCATGCTATGTTTACTTGGTCATTACATTATCATGTTTTAAGACTTATCATGATATTATGTTATGTTCATGCATCTTTTCCCATATTCAGTAAATAATAATTACTAACCGCATACATTCTTGTGCCTATATTATCTTTAATATAGGTTCTAACATATATACATCCATCCAATCACAATTAGTACATGATTCTGATCAACGGTGAGTCCTCATGGTTCGAGGACATGCCACACTTATACTTTCCTTATGCTTATTTCAAACTTCCTATTTCAAATTTCAAATTATTCAAGTGAGTTAGGGTTTATTCTAGACACTCACTTATGTTGTAAAGACCTATATCAGACATTAATATCTCTGTATTATGTCTTTGTACTCAATTTCCATATCATGTTGAGACACATGAAATCAAGCTAATATATCGTTATTACATTAAAGAGTAAGATATTTGCCATGTAGGAACCCCACTAGACCATAGCACTCGAAGGAAAAGCTAACGGCTAATGCTAGTTGTTATGAAACTTAATCATAAGAAATCAGTTCCTACAAAATGATCTCTATATAAATTATGGGATTATTATTTTTGTAAAGACACAAACCAATAAAAACACAAATATATACAAAAAATCATACTTTACTATAACAAAATGCTATCATTTTATTTTTCGTTATTTTTCTTATTAGCTTGTCGCCTCGGCCTAACTTGCATAGAGATATTTCGATATTTTCAATAGGGAAAAAGGACAAATATGTCCCCGAACTACCGTAAATGGTATGTCAATACTCTTCGTTATACTTTAAGGTTGTATATACCCTTACCGTCAATATTTTGGATTGTGTATACCCTTGCGACTAACAATTGAACATGTGGCTTCATCTCAATGAATAACCCAACACCCCCCCCCCCCCCCCATT